TTTTGAATTTGATCTAAGCAGAATTTTACCCAAATGCCTTCTGTAAGTTGCCTTGGTTTTACTATGGAACCGTCCATTAAAAATAAATTCCAATAAGAATCGTAGATAATTAAATGGATCTTGGTAGCACATTGCCCCATACTTTTTATATAATTCCTTGCTGTAGAAAGTCTAAGTACATTACAGATGCTATTTCCCCAGATCTTAATACGTCACTATTAAATCAGTACCAATTGATAGATTTCGTTTGCTAATCTTTAATAGATGAACCACAGTGAAACCAGCAGAGAAGTGTGCCAGACTTAATAGATTTAAGATGTATGATGTTAGAGTGAATCCATGTTGTCGATATTAATAAATCAATTGATTATTCATCTACATAACAATTTTACTTTTCAAAAACAGCATTTATATTTTAATAAATGTTCAATGCAAAAAAATTGATAAATCTAGTTAAATTTAGTACTTTATATGTAAAATTGATCTATTTTGAAAACTGAATTAATTGATAATACAGTTAAAAAGAAAAAGAAATAAAAGAGGGGGGAAACTCAGGATCTAACATTCACTCATCTTTCTCTTTCTCATACACACACACACACACACACACACACACTCTTAATTACACACTGGAAGCTTGATTAAATGTGCTTAAGTAAAAGACCATGAAAATTATGAATAAAGACAGCAAAAGAGAATGATTATTATATTATCAAAAAATTCTAGAATTTAATTTAAAAAATACTAAAAACGTATTCAATTAAATAACCATTAATCTGGGCACAGATCAATGATAAGAAATAAAGTAGATTTCTTTCCTGAAAAAAGATTTAAAGAGAAATGCAGTGTGACAAGATCAAGCAAAATTTTTTTTCTCCCTCCTCACTTCCACAAGTACAGTTCAGAAGAATTTCTGTATATCAGCTATAACTTCCAGGAAAACTATCCAGAGTCAGAATAGTAATAAGGTCTAAATAACAAAGTCCCATTAACTGCTCTTGCACAGCTCATCATACAAACTCACCTTTCCCAGGAAGAAGTTTGGTTAATAACCAACTTTTACAACACCCTTGAAAAACAGGACACAAATTGAGACTATAATACAAAGCTCAATAGCCTTGCCAATGTCTTCCAGCTAATCCTGTAGAGGTCAGTGGCTGTTGTAAAAACAGAGGGAAAGACCCTGAAAGAATATTGCATGTGACAGAATCTTCTAAATTTTTATAATTCATGCATTTCAAACATTAAAAATTAATTTTAGTACTTTTTAGTTATACATTTAATACATTTTAACAAGATATTTCCTGCCAAAGTACCATCATCTTCTTGTTAAGACAATAATAAATGTACATATTCATATAGATTTTCATGCTAGAAGACACAGCAAGCATTTTTCAGGAGAATCTTGCTTTGTTGTTTTTTGTTTTTTGTTTTTGTTTTTGGCCAGAATTTAATCTCATTTCTTAAGGAACATTTTACACAAAATTAACAGAAAACAATGCAGAAATAATATGTCACTCTCTGCTCTGTGTCCTAACAGTACTTTGAATATATCTCATAGAAGTTTTCCCATTGTTTTGATTTAGTTTAAAACACATGAAATTGCAGATATTCATCATTTTGATTTACATAAATGGTAATTTCCTATGGTTTTACTTCCTAGCTGCAAATGAACCTGATTTGTTCACCAATTGTAAGCAACTTGAAGGTACAGGGAAATACATTATTTCCCTTTCTATCTCAAGAACATAGCATGCAGGACCGGACAGATAGTAAACATACAATAAATTGTTGTTACATCTAAATCAATGGGTAAGGAAGTAAACTGCTCTCAGAATTCAGTATATTTAAAATCAATGGGTAACAAAAAGGATGCTCTTTGCTATCCTGGGACGTATGTTTAAGGAAAGGACAAATACCCCATTCAAAACAATGCTAAGGGTTCTTGTTTATTTTTGTTTTGTCTGTATTTTTAAATTAGGTTTACACAATGACAAATGTTTAGATGACTGGATACATATGTTACTCTTCGCATGTAAGTTTTCATGGGTAGATACAGTTGAAAACGGAAACACATTGACAGCTATAGAAGTTCTATTCTTTTCACACACATTATACACCATACAAATGAAAAGGATTCCAGTCCTGTCAGATGTGATGGCTCAACAAACGTGGGAATCCTGTACCTAAACGTTTACAATTTGTGGGACATCATGTTAATTTCAAAAGGATAAATAAATGAAGCGTCTTTTTCATTAGAACAAAGGAAAATAAGATATAGTCCTCTGAAGAAATACAGAGATTGTGGTTTAAGAAATTGGAAATTGCTCAAATTATTTTTTCTATTTTTCTATTTGTAAAAATGTCCTTATTGTCACATTTTAAAATGATACTCCTGGTATTATTTGTTGCCTATTCATCTGCATGACTTTCTGTCTAAACAAAACCTATTTTTCCATACCTGATAACATGGCTCATTCAGGGGATGGAGAGACCAGGCTGGGGCTCAGGGCAGTGCCAGCCAAGAGAATGCCCCACCAGGAGTGCCTGGTTAGGGAATTCTGGGCCTGGAGAGTTACCATGAAAACTTTCTATTTTGCAGCATTGGGATATTCTAAGAACAGTAAAAGCTACCATTCCTGGGGCTTGTGGTGTGTATATCCCACATGCAATACCTCGCAACAACCCTGCAAAATAAATATTGTTATACTTCTTAGTACATGCTTGCCTGGCATTGGACTAGAGAGTGTGCTGTGGTTTCATTCAGCTTATTGTGGGAGAGACATGAAATAAATGAATAACTTCCCTAATATCTATTGTCCAGCAGTGACAAAGTACCAGGCTGATGCAATAGCACCTGAGGGTGGCTGTTCTTAGGAAAGAGTGGTCAAGGAAGGCCTCTCTGAGGAGCTGCCGTGCGAGCAGAGCCTGAGTGAAGTATGGAGTGAGATGTGCTGATACTTGAGGGAACCATGGAACAGCAGGATGATGCCCTCAGGTGGTACCTTGGATATGCCCTGACATGGCACCAGAGTGGTGTGTTACTGGAGTGATCAGTGGGCCAAATTTTCCCATCACTAGTGGGAGTGGGTTTCTTGGGGTGCTATTGAAATAAGCATTTTCAGAAGCCCCCATGGGAAAATGAGATGTGGTAAGACTTTATTTGCATGGAGTTATATTCCTTGGGTGTAAAGACTCAGTTCCCTTAACCCAGTCCTAGAAGACATGTAGCTGAGGGTCCAGCAGAGCTAGAAGTAGGGCCAGTGCCAAAAGTTTCTGTTCTAAGATGAAATTGGGTCCAGCAGAGCATCAGGTTAGATTCAATTCATCAGCCTATTGTGTGGGTCCCACATGGCCCCGAGCCATGTGGGCAAATGCAGGGGAGCAAGCCCCCTGCAACAAGAGTCCCCAGAGAGCAGGGAGGCTGAGTGCCAAGAGGCAAGAGAGGGATCTTCCTTTGTTCAGGAGATTATGCATTTCAGATTTCATACCCTTGTAGTGGCCACTCCTATTCTGGCCACTGACTTGTTTCCAGGTGTGACTGACAGGTAAGCAGTTACCCACGTCACCTAGACCTTACTGGGCATGCATCTAGACTGCCTTTGTCTAGTTTCTTCCCCCATCGATCAGCAGTGAGGAACAGACCTGGAGAGTGTTAAACTGTAGCTTTCTGACAAAACTGTATAAATAGCATGCCTGCGTTATCTAGTCTTCCCTCTATTCCTTTTCTGTTCCATGATAACCAGATTATCATAATGCTATCAGTAGCAGTCAGTCAGAATGTTTTGCTAACTTCCTTGCAATCAGATTATGTCCAACAAAATCACCTGAAGTCCACCAGATTACTCTCTGCCCAGCACCTAGTGAACACTCAATAAATATTAGCTATTACTATAATCAGGACTGGCTTTACACAGGAAGCAGAATTGGAGGCAAGGTAAGATTGCTCGACCTATTATAGGATGTCCAGTGAAATGTGCACTTCAGATCAACAAAAACATGTTTTTAGTATAAATATGTCCCTATTATTGCATGGGACCTACTTACACTAAAATGTGTTTGTTGTTTATCTGAAATTCAAATTTAAATGGGCATTCTGGTTTTTTATTTGCTAAATCAGGCAATTCTCAGGCAAGGAAAACCTTGGGATGGAGATGAAGAACAGGGAAAGTAAGTTAGCATGTCCAAAGGCATAGAGACAGGGGGAAAATGGTGTTTTTCATCCGCTGTATGTTCTCCAATGATTGTTAAAACTTATCGAGTACTGTACTTAGCATGCGGCAATCTCTGCTCTGAGGGCTTTACAAGGATTAATTCATTTATTCTTTATAAAAACATGTGTGGTAGATTATGATTACCTCCACTTTTAAAATGAAGTAATAAAGAGGCAAAGTAATGTGTCCAGTAGCTCAGAACTGAGAAATACAGTAGCTGGGGTTGTGAACATAGGACCTAGGAAGCTTGGAGTCAGGGGTTGCCGTCTTAACCATTTTGAGTAGAGGAAAATGATCTGTTCAAGGAAAGCTTTAGAAGGCCTTCAGTCATTTTTAAAAGGCCAAATCATCCAACCACAATTCCTACATAAAGTGAAGCATTATTTGCCAAAGCTCTGCCTCCCAGTGGGCTGCAGCTCGCCTGCCTCAGGCACGCTCCATATTCCTTCAATACTCAGGTCTGGTATGTCCTCCTATGTTCCCCTTTGGATTTCCAAAGTCACTGTGTTCCTGGAATATGGGACCTGCCCCTAACTGTTGCTCCCTTTGCAACAGCTTATTGGAAGCAAATAATCATGAGGGATTGAGCAAGAACTTCTGGGATACCAACCTTGGAGAAGGAGCAAGGAATGTGGAGTGCATGTTGACCGTCTAAACAGGACAAAGATAATGATTAATCGCATCCCCTGAGGGTTTAAATGAGATGGGAACTGGGAGTGAAGGCAATCTTCCTTTCTCCTAGCTGGAAGGCTCCTCCTGAGCCAGCCCAGCCCCGCCTCAGAAAACATGTATTCCATGAGGATCTTCTGCCTGGTCCTGAGCGTGACGGGCACAGTTTGGGTATGGTTTCTTTCATTTTCTCTTCCGGCTTTCTCGCTGATGTTTATTTCACAAAGAGCTTGCATGTCTGAGTCAGCGTTGTGTATGTCCTCACACACTTAGCTCTCAAATTCTAGGCCATGGAGGCAAGTTCCCAGATGGGCTGAACACCTCAAGAGTACAGGGTAGTGTGACCCTAAGAGGGAGACTTAGGGGAACAACGTAAATACATTCTCAGTGGAAACTTTAATGAACATCGGTAACTCAGACTTACAACCATTTTTTTTTTTTTTTTATCCTCACCCGAGGACATTTTTCCATTCTTTGTACAGATAGGGTGGGAGGGAGAGAGAGGAACAGAGAGAGAGAGAAACATCGATGTGAAAGGGACACATCGAGTGGCTGCCACCTGCACAACCCAACCAGGGCTGGGGACAAACTGCAACCAAGGTACGTGCCCTTAGCGGGAACTGAACCCGGGTCTCTCTAGACTGCAGGCTGATGCTCTAACCGCTGAGCCAAACTGGCCAGGGGCAACCTTTTTTTTTTTTTTTTTTTAAAGGGAAGATATCTTTGCCATCTTTGTTGCTATAAAGCCTTGAGATAGTTAGTGCTAGTTAACAGGACAAAGCATTCGCATAAGCTTTTAAAATCGAATCATTATTTTCTTGCTATTTGTCCAAATAAGCAGATTTAATATAGTTTTTCTGAGAGGTGTTTTGTGTGTGTGTGTGTGTGTTTCTGTTAAGACAAATACAAAACAAATTAGTAATCTTTGCAAATGTATTACAAAGCAATGTCAAGAGAGGTCATTAATAAGGCAATATGCTATTTGGAAGCCCTTATATTCTTTTAAGATAATGACTAAATATTGCAATAACTTTTAAAGTTTGACTTTAGAAACCTGTAGAAAATAAGAGAAATTTTATTCAACAAGGCTTTGAAACACTTAGATCTTATCAAAACATGATAAATATGTTTAAAACACTCAGTTACATCCACACTGTGAATTATTCCAATTTATTTCCTTCCCTTTATCACTCATAAACCTTAATACCAGAGCAGAAAAAAACTAAAGAGGGTGTCTAACTTAATTTTCTTCCTTATAGTAAAATAATAAGTAAACATTTTCATGGGAAATGAAACTAACAGGATTTGCTAAGATGATATTTTGGATAATGCAGAACTTTCAGTTATTCCCCCTGTTATTGATATAAATTAATTTTTGCCTGTTTTTATTGTTGTGCTATTTTATTCTGAAGTATGTTTGAATTTATAACTTTATTTCTTAGACAAAAAGATTGTATTTAAATAAATTATCTTGATTGCTTGAATTAGTAGTAGTAGTATTCGGATTTTTTTTAATGAGATGACAAATGTTAACTAATTATAAAAATAAACTATCTGAGATTTAAATAGTCATAGAAAAGTCCTTGTGAATTGGTGGTACATAGTTAAAATAGCTAAAACCTAAAACCTGCATTGATTTGTTAAGATATAAAGTCTTTTTAGAAGACCATTTTTATATCTTATTTCACCTCATAGATCACAACAGAGAATTTTAAAATCTGTGTTTCTAATTATAAGTTGTTCCAAAAAGTTGTCAGTCATGAACCATTATTTTTGCTTTCACTCTACTTTTCCTCATTCCAAACACAAAGAATCTATTACATGAATGAGCAACCTAAAAAGCATTTCTGAGTCTGAACTGGTCACATTTGTGTCCTTGGTATACATTTGCTCAAATTATGGATCCATAAAGTCATAGTAGAAATTTAAAGGAAAGACAGACATTAAGCCAAAATACTGTAGGCTTTTTCCTACTGGAACAAGAATTAGAGGAGAAAGAACCCTTTAAATTTTCCAGTTATATATCTCCAGACATTAATGAAAGATTTAAGCAATTTTGTTGATTCAAATAATTTTTCTTTTATAATAGAGCCTTTAAAAGGGTTACCATTGATGAAGTGCTTTAGTGTCGAACTCAGTTAAGAAATGTGGACATCTTATCTCCTTTGACGCTCACAACTTCATATAATAGTTATGAAGATTTTCATTTGAAAGATAAGAAACCTGAAGCTTGTAGAGGCCCTGAGCTGGTGCCCTTAATCTCTGGGAAAGCCCCCTTCCTTTGGGTTTGACAGACATGCCAATGTCTTTTCCTTATCTGCTACTGTTCCCTTCTTTTGTGTGCATAAATGAATCCTTAAAGGCTGAAAAGACGGCTGAGGAAGGTGCATTTATAACTGAAGGAGGAGCTGTGCGTGGCCCCAGAATTGTGGAAAAACAGCATTCTTCCTGCAGAGAGTCAGACTGGCCCTTCTGCTCTGATGACGACTGGGTGAGCCGTGGGCATGAAACGGGAGAATCCTTCCTTGTGGTGTTAGAAATGTACACAGGCTGACCCATTAGGTCACAGAAAACATTTCCAAGGGAAATAATCTAATAGTTCCTTACATATCAAATGAAAAAGGACGAATGAAACGGAACCTAGTCCTGAGAGTACTATTTAAATTACTTCCTATACATTGGTCATGGGTGGGATTAAGAGATTAGATTTTAGTTTTATATTCAGATAGATACTAGGAATCTGAATTTTATGACCTCAGGATTTCATGGGGCCTAATTTATGCTTGAGGGGGCCCTCATTGCAGAATTTCTCTGTGATCTGCCTAGTCCTCTTAAACTGCTTTGAAATCAATAGATGGTCTGAAGCGATGGGGAGGAGAGCAGTAGGGGCTGCATGGAAACCTCCAACATGGCACTAACCCCAGGAGATAGCCCCTTAGTATAATTTTTTCTCTCTTCACTTTCAGAACCAAAAATGCCCTTCTGGCTGCAGGATGAAAGGGTTGATTAATGAAGTCCATCAAGATTTTACAAACAGAATAAATAAGCTCAAAAATTCAGTATTTGATTATCAGAAGAACAATAAGGACTCTAGTTCATTGACCACAGACATCATAGAACTTGTGAGAGGGGATTTTGCCAACAGTAACAGTAAGTATCACATGTTTAGTGCTTTGACCTTACAGCACACAACACAACAACATCAAAAACTCTGAATAGGGTGTCTCCTGATAACAGCTGAGCTTTTGCTACTGAATACTTCGTGTAGAAGCACATACCCTTAAGATATAGCTGAATTTTTAAGGAGGAGCTTGCAATTTTGTTATTGTTATAATGTAAAAATGTCAGCTTAGAGTTGTTTAAGATCACAGTGTAATCAGAATTTTGGATTGAAGCCTAAAATTTAAGTGTTTTCTTTTCAAGGGTATACACTGAACTTAAAATGGGCCCAGACTTTTGAGTATATATGTTTCCATCTTGCAGAGGAGGAAATTGAGAGGTTAAGGGACTTGCCTAAGTACACAAAGCTGTCATGTGATGGAGTTGGGAGTTCAACCCATAGGCTCCACTAAGCTGATTATGCAGGTTTTTAACATTTTAAATATATATATATATATCCATGTTATAGCTTTCTCACAGGGCAAGGACTAGGTCTCATTAGAGCCAAGAAACACTGGGTTTGCTCTGATATGGGCAGCAAGTTTAGTGAGGCCCCAGTTCCTGAAGCCTTGCTTCACTCTATATTTTCAGGAGACACTTGACTGATTTAAAGTCAACCATGCAGCAGTAACTGGAAGTAAGTGAGCTTGTTAACCTAAAATAAAAAAATTAAAAGCTTAGGAACAATTTGAAATCTACAAGTAGAAAGAAACCCTCAGTAATAAAACCCAATTTCCCAGTACACCATGTCTAGTTTTCAATAAAATAAATGACAAGGCATATGAGAAGGCAGAAGGAAGCACACACTAAAGAGGCAAAACAAGCATCAGAACCAGACACGGCAGAGATGGTGAAATGACCAGACTGGGAATTTAATAAAAAATGACGAACATGACAAAGATTCTAATGAATAAAGTAGGCAGTATGCCCATGCAAGATCATGGGCAATGTAAGCAGAGAGATGGAAATTCTAAGAAAGAACTAAAAAGAAATGTTAGACATAAAAACCAATATAACAGAAGTGAAGAATGCCTGTGGTAGGCTCATTAGTTGACTGGACATGGCTGAGAGGATATATCAATAGGTCCTCAAAAACCTGTACATCATCCTCATACATTAGTCCAAATCCATAGAATGTACAAGACCAAGAATGAACCCTAAGGTACACTATGGGCTTTGGGTGATTATGATGTAGATTCATACTTGGTTAAAAAAAAAAAAAAAGGCAAAAAAAGAGCCCTGGCCGGTTTGACTCAGCGGTTAGAGCGTCAGCCTGTGGTCCAGAGAGACCTGGGTTCGGTTCCCACTAAGGGCATGTACCTCGGTAGCAGTTTGTCCCTGGCCTTGGTTGGTCATGTGGGTGGCAGCCATTCAATGTGTCCCTTTCACGGCGATGTTTCTCTCTCTCTCTCTCTCTTCCTCTCTCCCCCTCCCACTCTATCTGAACAAAAATGGAAAAAAAATGTCCTCAAGTGAGGATTAAAAAAAAAAAGGACCTTTCAGATGAGTAATATTGATAGTGAGAGAAACTATGCATGTTTGGGAACAAAGGGTAGAAGGGAAATCTCTGTACTTTCTCAATTTTTTTGGAAACCTAAAGCTGCTCTAAAAATGAACAATTGATAAACACACACATAAAAAGAAATAAAAATAGGAAATTATGTGAAAAAAAAATTCAGGAACATGGTCAAGTCCCATGAGTAAGGACATGAGAAAATAATTAGAATGTGAGCAAATCAATTATTTTATCTCCTAAGTACACCTTTAAAATGCTAAAGAGATTTTTCTTCTGTAATTATTTGGATTACTAACTGCTGGTAAGGCACCTTAATTGACATCCATTAGATGACTACAGGTCATAACATTGTCCAAAAGTCAAATGTCTGAAATATGTCTAAGTAAATGTTCTTCTTTTGCTGGCTATTACAAGTAAATCACTCAGCAGTTGATTTAATATACATATTTTCTATTTCAGACCATGATAATACATTCAGCCAAGTGTCCGAAGATCTGAGAAGCAGACTTGAGACCCTGAATCGCAAAGTCATAGAACAAGTACAGCGCATTCAACTTCTGCAGAAAAATGTCAAGGCCCAGCTGGTAGATATGAAACGCCTGGAGGTAAGAAAGCATGTGGCTCTGTCACCAGATTTCCTTATTTTTAAATAGCAGGGAAATGAAAGGCAATAATCATTCACTGAATGCCTACTATATGCAGAGCAAAGTGTTATACATCCATTATGTACCTACAAAGTAGGTATTATTCCCCTACTATACAGATGAGGAAAAAAAAAAAAAAAAGAAAGGCTCAACAATATTAAGTAAAATTTCCCAGGGCACATAGATAGTAAATTTCAAAATAACATATTTAGTATCTGCTTGTCTTATTCGAATTCCTGATGCTGCCAAGCCTTCAAGTCCTCAGCTGCACTGAAGATCACTTCATTAGTGTTTCCTTTCAGAGGGAATAGAAACTTGCTCTTGATCTGTTCTAAGAGAAATCCAAATAGTTTCTATTGCTTCTCCTGGCTAGCCTTACAATACCCAGCATCTCTTCCCCTGAGGATACCACATATAGGAAAAATTAAGTCTTGGTTGGTAGGTCTCCAAGCCAAAGAAATAAAAACAGTTTCCAAGAAATAAATTAACTACTAAGAACTCAATAGACACCTCTTATTTATTTATAGCTACTATTTTTTCTTTATCTCCTCCTCTCTCTAGGTGGACATTGATATTAAGATCCGATCTTGTCAAGGCTCATGCAGTAGGTCTGTAAAACGTACGATAGATCTACAGGACTATGAAGATCAGCAGAAACAACTTGAGCATCTCATTGCCAAAGACTTACTTCCCTCCAAATACAGACGACACTTACCACGGTTGAAAATAAGCCCGGATGTAGATATGTTACCCAGAGATTACAAGACTCAGCTGCAGAAAGCCACCCCAGAGTGGAAGACACTCATAGAAATGAAGCAGATGAAAATGGTGTTAGAGGGGTCTGATAAAGATGAGAATTCCCGAGGAGACTCTGCATCTCAAGGAGCAGGATCAGCACCTGAAAACCCCAGGAAACCAGCACCTGGTAGTACTGGAAACCGGAGACCTGGGAGCTCAGGAACTGGGGGTGCTGGGACTCGGAACCCCGAAGGTTCTGAGACTGAAATTTTCAGGCCAGGAAGCACAGGGCATGGAAACACCAGGCCTATCGACCCAGACTGGGGCACATTTACAGAGGATTCAGGAAGCTTAAGTCCAGGGTCAAATAAAGAGTACCACCACACAAGTAAACTGATCACTTCTGACAGAGGCAAAGAGCTTCTGATTGGTAAGGAGAAGGTCACTTCTGGTGGCCTAACCTCCAGTCGTTCGTGCTCTAAAACCATCATTAAGACTGTTACAGGTGCTGATGGCCACAAAGAAGTGACGAAAGAAGTGGTCAATTCTGATGACAGTTCTAACTGTGGAGAGATGGGTAGCTTAGGCGATTTCCGTTTTTCTGATGGCCTAGAGTACTTTCGTAAGCACCCCGAGGACATGACTTTCTTCGAAACTGAGACAGTTGGAAAAATACCCCCAGATGTGTTACCTATGCTCGAAGAGTTTAACAGTAAGGGCCACTCTGTGGCCTCATCTGACATTTTCACAGATGTAGGGGAAACCAGCTCTCACTACGCCAGCGGAACTCATACCGTCAAGAAAGGCCGAGCTAGAGCTCGCACGGCCAGAGGTATCCGCACTTCTCCTTTGGGGAAGCCTTCCCTGACCCTCTAGACTAAGTTAATTGTTCTTGCAATGTGCTCACATAGCACCTTGCTCCTCTTTCCTAGCCCTCTCTCGTGCTTTCTTACAATTACACCTTTTTCGTGTGTTTTTCGTGCTAGACTGTAAGTTCCACAGGGGCAGGGACTTTGTCTATCGTGTTCATCTCTGTATTCCCAAATGCCTACCAGTGCAGAGGGTCACCACTGAATAAATATATGTTAAATGAACGAATCCCTCTGAAACTCGATTTTGAGTTTGTTTAACCAAATCCTTTCACCATTCAAAATGTGCGTGGTTGGAATTGTCACCCAATTTATTTGATCATATTTTTTAGAGTGGCTCTCAGTTGAAATTGAGATCAGGTTAAACAAGTTACACTAGTACTAAATGATGCTTACATATCTTTGCTGGTTACTTGCTATTAATCAGTACATGCAAGTAAAATTCCAAATCCATTGAGGAAATTCCCTTTGTAATTTTTAGGTATAAATGCCACTCATTTGCTTATGATTCATTCCAGTATAAGTGCATATTTTCTCCATAAAGGGAAGGAAGGAAGGAAGGAAGGAAGGAAGGAAGGGAAGAAGGGAGGAAGAAAGAAAGGAATGAAGGAAGGAAGGGAGGAAGGAAGGAAGGAAGGGAGGGAGGAAATAGGAAAAGAAGGAAGGAAGGGAGGGAGGAAAGATAGGAGGGAAAGAAGGAAAGCAGGAATGGGAAGGAAGGGAAAGGAAGCTAGTATCTACCTTCATTTAATCTGGGCCATTCCTATCTTTGTAAAGTTAAATGAGAGTAACTTCCTCCAACCAGCTTAATTTTTTTTTTAGACTGTGATGATGTCCTCCAAACACATCCTTCAGGGGCCCAAAGTGGCCTTTTCAATATCAAGCTACCAGGATCCAGTAAGATTTTTTCAGTTTATTGTGATCAAGAGACCGGTTTGGGAGGATGGCTTTTGATCCAGCAAAGAATGGATGGATCACTGAATTTTAACCGGACGTGGCAAGACTACAAGAGAGGTTTCGGCAGCCTGAATGACAAGGGGGAAGGAGAATTCTGGCTAGGCAATGAATACCTCCACTTGCTAACCCTGAGGGGCTCTGTCCTTCGCGTGGAGTTAGAGGACTGGGCTGGGAACCTGGCTTATGCAGAATATCACTTGAGAGTAGTCTCAGAGGCAGAAGGCTATGCCCTGCAGGTCTCCTCCTACGAGGGCACAGCAGGCGATGCTCTGGTCCAGGGTTCCGTGGAGGAAGGCACAGAGTACACTTCTCACGCTGGCATGCAGTTCAGCACCTTTGACAGGGATGCAGACCAGTGGGAAGATAACTGCGCAGAAGTCTACGGAGGAGGCTGGTGGTATAACAACTGCCAGGCGGCCAATCTCAATGGCATCTATTATTCTGGGGGCTTCTATGACCCCAGGAACAACAGTCCATATGAGATTGAGAATGGAGTGGTCTGGGTCCCCTTCAGAGGAGCAGATTATTCCCTCAGGGCTGTCCGCATGAAAATCAGACCCCTGGTGTCCCAATAAGTTGAAAGAGTGGAAACGAGAGTGTTCTGTTTTGTTTCGTGAACTGGAGAAAAAAATAAAGAAGATAAAGGAGTCAAGATTCTCTACAACCTAAAAAATTCCCAGGTGCTATTTCATTATTCTTTGTACTGTAGCTAAATGTAACTGAGACATATTAGTGCTTCAAAAAAATAAAGTTATGTGATTTTTTTAAATCTTTAAAATAGCTCTGTGAGTTTTTAAATTTCTGTAAGGATACACTGAGGGACATTCAGTACATCAGAAAGAGGGAGTCACATAAAAGCTACTCTGCAAGCCCCACGGGTCTCATTTGGAGAAAGTCTCCTCTTCCCACACCATTCAAAGTCATAGGGCTACTGTAAAGTAAAAATAATTGTTTCATCCATGCCATTTGCATGATTTTAAACCAATCTTTTAAGTTGCAAAGCACTAGATTGAACAATGGTTGGCTTTTGTAGAGGAATTTACAAAGTTGTTTCATCTCTTCTGTTAGTAAGCAAATCCAGAAAGGCAGGAGAACCATTCTTTCCTAATAGAAATAGAAATCTCTCCTTTAAGGCTTCAATGAAGATCATGACACACACTTTCCTCCCCCAGAGTCCAACAAATTTCTTTCAAAAAATACCTGGAAAATGCATTTAAATTTTAAAAAATGGTTACAAGTATTCCCAGAACAGATGGCATTTACACATTGATAAATAATTTCCACGGCACTCATTTCACTTTATTTCCCCACCAATCATCAGCTATAGTCTGTGATACATTAGTTGTTATTAAACATTTGTTTCAAAGCATCTCACTAAATATGATCTATACTATTCATAAAGTCAACATGTTTACATTGGTCGATATTTTATTTTGGTCTAAGTTACATCTTCAATTTTGGTGGCCTCAGCTCCTGCTCCCAATTTTTATTTATTTATTTATTTATTTATTTATTTATTTATTTATTTATTTATTCATTCATTCATTCATTCACTCATTCATTCATTCATTTTTATTGATTTTTAGAGAGAGAAATAGAAACTGAGGAGAGACAACATCCATTGGCTGCCTCCTTCATGCCCCCACTAGGGATCGGGCCCACAACCTGGGCATGTGCCCTGACCAGGAATTGAACCTGTGACCTCTTGGTGCATGGGTCGATGCTCAACCACTGAGCCACAGAAGCTGGGCCTGCTCCCAATTTTTAACTCATATTTTCTTCTAGTGAGAACTACTTGCCATTTATTCTAGAAAATATAGGAGGTGCCAAAAAAAAAAAAAAATGTACACAGAACTTTGAATAATTTTAAAGCCATGTTTATTAAATACATATCATTTTCAAAATGTAATAGAATATGCAGACACCCTGTATATATGTTATTGGGACAACCTGATCCTAATACATTGCCCTCAATTGCATAGTTTCTATAACAATGTACTTTTTCTCCTTGTAAGGAAAGAAGGGAGGAAGGTAGGGAGGGAGGGAAAACAAAGCACATGGGGATCCCAGTACATTGCCCTCAATGGCACAGTTTCTATCACAATGTAACTGCATTCTTTCTCCTTATAAGGGAGGAAGGAAGGAAAGCAGGAAGGGAGCTAGGAAGGGAGGGAGGGAAAACAAAGGAGAAAGGAAGGGGGCTAAGGCTAGGGACCAGAACCTGGGGAGCAGGGGAACAGTAAGTATAAGAACTTGCAAATGAGTCACATATGAAGTCCCAGTATTCTTGTATTTCCTTATATGCAATTAAAAAACTATGCTACAGATAAGTGATACACCTCCAAATCTTTGGCTATTTGGATAAGAACTTCTTCCAAATTAAAAGAAGTTTCACTTATTTCAGACAATGAAGTCCATGTTTTCTCTATGTCCATGGTGTGGACATTCACACGTATGAGAAAAGGAAGAATTTTATTTTTCAGGATTTCAATGTTAGAGACAGAATCAGGTCCCAAAGTGGAAGTCACTTTGAATGTGAAGGGCCATTTATTTATTATTTATTTTGAAGGCTTTGAATTTATTAGCAAAGAATAGGTAACTTCTTTTTTATTCAAATTTTTTTCAACTGAGAATATATATTTTTTATTGATTTTTAGATAGAGAAGGAGGGGGGCAGGGAGAGAGAGAGAAACATCAATGTGAGAGAGACACATCGATTGGTTGCCTCTTGCACAGGTCAGGGATCGAACCTGCAACCGAGGTACTTGCCTTTGACTGGAAATCAAACCTGAGACTCTTTGGCCTGAGGGCCAGTGCTCTAACTGCTGAGCCAAACTGGCCAGGGAAGAATAGGTAACTTCTTTTAATTTAATAAAGAGTAGCCAATATTAGCACAATCCTGAAATTAGACATACAATTTGGTTTGGAGAAAAGACACCAAATATCTCTTTTCCATTTTACCTTGTCTTTAACCTACTACTCTATTTCCTTTGCTCCTGAAATGAAATATTAATTCAATTCCTCTGATTCTTATTCACATGGAAGCGTGCTTTACCTTGGTTATTACTCTCTTGTAATTCTTCTTCATAAAGTCAACAATAACTTTGTAGTTCTAAATTTAATTTCCTACATTCAAGCCTTTCCCACTCAGACTCCTTTAAACAACAGTTACAAGTGTCCCCATTCTTCTTGTCAGCCTGTAAGTTCTCTTGTTTCTGGCTTACCATCCTACCTGTATCACCTTTCTTAGTCTTTTTAACTGGTCAGTTCTTTCTTGGACCACTCCTTAAATAAAAGCGGTTCTTGTTATGATAATATTAGTACTCATTTTTTATCAGTTAGGACTAAGTTTGATCCATGTGGTTTAAATAAGACAGAAACTTATCTTCTGTTCAGAGAAATGTCTACAAGAATATGTCCCCATAATGTCTTCAGGAAGCCATCATCCTAATCAATGGCTTCCATCCTCAAGTTTACCTGATGGTCCAAACATCATGTCCTATGGAAATCTGGAAGCAAGAGGGAAGACAGAAAGGAACCAGAGTGCCTTCTCTCTTTGAAAGAACTTCCTGGATGCTCCACACAGCACTTCCACTTATATCTCATTATCCAGAGCTCAGTCACATAGACACATCTAGCTGCAGGACAGGCTGAGACCCCTGTTAGCTTAGATACAAGGCTATCCTAATTAAAACTCGGATTCTGTTTAGCCAGACCATCTTTTCTCACCCTATGTGTATATTTTCTCCTTGGTTGATTTGCTGATTGCTGTAGTTTCAATTACTGTCAGTAGGTTGAGGATAGTCAAATCTAAAACTTCAGTTCTGACATTCAGATCTATGATTTCAATGAATACTGAGCACATTCAGTTAGATATTTCTCATTAATCTGTCTAAGATTGAAACAGTTACCTTTTCATCAAAACCTACTGCATCTTCTTTATAATTAGTCAGCATCATTAGCCCTCCAGCTTCCTAATTTAGAAAAGTTGGGTTCTTTCTCAGCTTCTTTATTAAATTTTCTATATCCAATCTATTCCCAAACTATCTTCTGCTCTAGAATTGGCCAATCTTACAGCACGTTTGTAATCTTATGTTATCTTGTGTTACTTTCTTCTGATTGAGGCTGTTCAACAGTCTCTTAACCTCTTGCTTTACCACCATTTTTTTTTTTTAAAAAGGTGTTTTATGATTTTTGGAGAGAGAGGAAAAGAGAGGGAGAGTGAAACATTAATGAGAGAGAGAAACATCGATTGGCTACCTCCTGTCGACTCCCTACTGGGAATTGAGCTCAGAACCCAGGCAATGTGCCCCACCCACCAGGAATCAAACTGGGACCCCTCAGTGCATGAACTTACACTCAACCAATGGAGCCACCAGCCAGGGCTACCACCCTTCTTTTGTTCGTTCATTCTCCACACAGATAACCTTTCAAAAATAAACCCAATTATGTCTTTTTCCTATGTAATGCCTTATTTTAAGACTGAGTTAAAAACAAAACAAAAGAAGTAAACAAACAAACACAACAGACACTTAGGTACAGAGAACAAATTGATGGTTGCCAGAGGGTCGGGGGTGGTAGGATGAGTATAAAGGGTGACAGGGAATAAGAAGTACACTCTTCCAGTTATAAAATAAGTAAGTCATGGGGATATAATGCACAGTACAAAGAAACTAGTCAATGATATCTTATTATGCTTGGTAACAGATGGTTACTTAGACTTATCGTAGTGATCACATCATATGGTATATAAATGTATAATCACTATGTTGTATACTCAAAACTAATACAATATTATATGTCAACTATACTTTAATAAAAAAGTAAAAAACTTAACTCCTTTATAAATTGATCTGTTTTTAACCTCTACAGTCATTCACTGTATACTTTAGTCATTGAATTTCTCACTGGTATTGGAATACCAGGTTCTTCAATGATTCTGTGCTTTTCATCTATGGCCTCAAAGCCTCCCATTCATTCCTTAAAATACAGCTCAATAATGTTTCTTCTGTCAACCCTGCCTTAATGCCTACCATAGAACATAGAACCAGGAATTGTTCTCTGGACCCTCATAGTTCTTGTTCGTATCTCAAAACAATATAGTCAATCCCTAACTCGAACATTTGTTTCTGTTATTATGGCACTAGATCTGAATTCCTTTAGGCATGATACAGTGTTTCCTGCCCTACGTGAGAGTGTTTTGCATATTTCAAGGTTATACAGATAAGTTTTTTTTTCTTTTTTTTTGTTCAGATAAAGTGGGAGGGAGAGAGAGGAAGAGAGAGAGAGAGAGAGGACCATCGACGTGAAAGGGACACATTGAGTGGTTGCCACCCGCACGACCCAGCCAGGGATGGGGACAACCTGCAAGCGAGGTACGAGCCCTTAGTGGGAACCGAATCCCGGTCTCTCTGGACAGGCTGACGCTCTAACCACTGAACCAAACCAGCCAGGGCTATACAGATAAGTTTTTAAAGTTTCTTTAAATATATTTATTATTTTTCTTTTACATTTAAATGTTTATTTAACCTAGAATTTGTTTTAAAACGCTAAGAAAATGGTCTACTTTTGTTTT